TTTTTTTTTTAAATTTTAGTCTTGAAATATGTTACCAGTTTCCACATGATCTCGTCTGATAAACTTGTTTGGGCTGTTGAGACAAGATATATGTAGCCTAAGCTGACCTCAGACTCGCTGTGTAGCCCAAACTGGCCTTGACCTTGCAATCCTCCTGCCTCAGCCTCTCAAATGCTGACACACTGCAGGCATGTACCTCCATGAACATCTTGTTTGGGCTTCCTTACTTAATAGCTAAAGTGGTGGTTGAAACCTCACATCAACAACTGCAGCTAATAAAATACAAATCTATAGTTTTTGATCCAGCTTCCAATTCATGCATCATTGGTTCTTTCATAAGAAATTTTTCCCAAACTCAAGAGGAGGAGATATAGACCTTCTCAAGGGGAGAAAGTAAGTCATACAGAATGGGGAACTCTGCTCTGGATGCTTTGTTATGTCAGACACTTCAAAAAGAAAAGTTTGAGTATATTTATAACTTTGTTGAGATGAGAATACATATTCATTGTTCTGTGTCCTTTGAAAATCTGGCTATGAAAAATGATTACCTGGCCTGGCAAGATGGCTCATTAGATAAGGGCACTTGATGCCAAATCTGATAACTGAGTTCAACTCCTGGAACATACATGGTAGAAGAGGAGAAACAATTTTTTGAAAGTTGTTGTCTGGCTTCCACAGGCATTTTGTGGTGCATGCACCACCACCACCCACACATAGAGGCACACACAAAATAAACATTTTAAAACAATTTTAACAGGCTAGAGAGATGGCTCAGCAGTTAAAAGCACTGGCTTCTCTTGCAGAGGACCCTGGTGTAGTACCCAGCACCCACACGGCAGCTAACAACAATCCACAACTCTAGTTTCTCTTCTCACTTCCATGGGCATTGCACGACAGGGATGCACTTACATACATGCAGGCAATACACTCATACACATCAAATACAATCATAAATAAAATAATTTTAGAAGAAAAATGGTTACCTCATTTCTTGTTTTATTTGCATATTTAAGTCACTAACATTAATCAAATATTTATCTTTATTAGTTTCCTAAATTTTTCTTCCTGGTGTCTGGGCTTTTATAAACTTCTCTGCTGCATTGTCAGTAATTTGGGGGCCTTTTTGCACGTGAAGACAATGTTCCCTTTCATTGTTCATTGTCATGTTATTTATATTACTCTTCCTCTTTGATTTGGTGTCCTGTTTTGCCATGCTGAAATTTATTACTCATCTATAGTAACATCAATATTTTCTTCTGTACCTTTGCATTTCATATATTAATGAAAATGATCACCCTCGTTCCAATGTAATTTTTCATATTCCTTGACTTTTTTCCAAAGTTTGGTCATTTGACCTTCAAACCTACTCATTGTTTTATGCACCACACAATTTTGAACCGTCCTCACCATAACCATGGAATAGTCTCATTGTTTAGAAATTTTGTTCTACCAATAACTTTGTGTTGGGTCCCATGGCAATACTTTCCTGTGGCTGGATTTCATAGGAGTTCATTTTCCCTGAGGCTCTCAAGGAGCCAGGATGTTTTTGTTTTGTTTTGTTTCAACTCCCAGCACTCTCTCTGCTGTTGCTTTGTTGAAGTGCTCAGAAGAGAGGTCTCCTGCTTCCTGAGTTGCCCATCCCAGGAGCGTCCCACCTTCCTCCCCACTTCTGCAGTTTCTACAGAGCTCGAATTTGATCGCACTCATAGCAGTTTCTCTTTATGGTGAGGCCCTGTACAGAGGGGAGCAATGGCTTATTGATTTCAAGTTTCTCATACACCTATTATAATACACCTCCCCACCAAACTTACAGAGGCCCTTTCACATCAGCCCACTATTTTATTGAGTAAAACCCATTGGGAATCAGCTGCTTTTCTGACCCAGCCTTTCAGTTAAGTCCTCTGGCTGTTTGTGGTTTGTTTTGTCCTCAGATTGTCTGCTGTCCCTTTTCTCTTTTCTCCCTTTACCTTAGCATTTAGTGAAACTTCACAAAGTTTTAGAAATCCTTACAGTTTGTTTATCTTACCTAATATATAGTTTATAAAATAACAAGGAGTTTAAATAGAGTATTAGAAACTGTTAATAAGAAAAAAATGACATAGGAAAACTGAAAGGGAGAACTGAAAGTGGGAAATTCCTGTGAAGCAGAGAAGACCATCCCTTATAAATAGCTCATACCCATGGAGGAAGAACACTCACACTCCAGACTTCAGGAGGTTTTGTCCTACCGTGCAGGTAGCAGCCAACACCAGCCCAGCTTCCATCATGACCAACGGGTGTATCCTCCAAACCTTGCTCCTTCTGTGCTTTTCTACCACAGCCCTCTCCATCAGCTACAAGGCGCTTCGACTCTATCAAAGCAGCGGCAGTGTGACATGCCAGGAGCTCCTGTTACAGCTGAATATAAGGCCCTGCCTTGAGGACAGGATTAACTTTAAGCTCCCTGAGAAAATTAAGCACCAACAGCAGTTCAAGAAGAAGGATGCTGCCTTCCTCATCCATGAGATGCTCCAGAATATCTTCTCTGTCTTTACAAATGATTTCTCCAGCACTGGGTGGAATAAGACCATTGTTGAGAACCTCTTTGGTGAACTCCATAAACAGATGGACCGTCTGGAGACAATCCTGAAGGAAAAACCAGAAGAGAGCTTAGCCTGGAAAGCACCAACAGCAGTTCAAGAAGAAGGATGCTGCCTTCCTCATCCATGAGATGCTCCAGAATATCTTCTCTGTCTTTACAAATGATTTCTCCAGCACTGGGTGGAATAAGACCATTGTTGAGAACCTCTTTGGTGAACTCCATAAACAGATGGACCGTCTGGAGACAATCCTGAAGGAAAAACCAGAAGAGAGCTTAGCCTGGAGAAACTCCATGGCCATTCTCCATTTGAAGAGCTATTATCGGAGACTGCAAAGGTACCTGAAAGACAAGGAGTACAGCAGCTGTGCCTGGATGGTGGTCCGAGCAGAAATCATGAGGAACTTTCCCATCATTAGCAAACTTACTGATTGCTTTCAGAACTGAGAGGCCTGTGCCTCTGAGACCTGACAATGTTTTCAGAAACTCTAGCAGATGCGTTCAGTGACTGGTACTGAATGTACTGTTTGAAAGTTCCAAAGAAGATGTTATATTTTTATTAATTTATGAGTTAAATTATTTTCTACTCTTTATTTAAATTTTAACTTTGGAAAATAAAATATTTATGATACAAAATTTAATATGGCAATTATAATTTAAACTGATTTATATAACCATCAATGTCAATAATTGCTGAGTGGTTATTAAACATTCTTTGTAAAATATTCCTGCGAAGTTGTGTAATTTTTGGCCTCTATCTGAGGAATTTGAAGGCCAAGGAAGACACGTAATACACACTTCTAGGGAAGTAGAAGTGGTATGAACTGGTGTGGATTGAAAAGAAGAGGCAAGTGGGTGGTTCTGGAGTCAGAACCTGGGGTGCTGACTGCTTCCACTTGGCTCTCTGAGCTCTGTAGTTGGAAGAAGGTTAGAATATGGCTGACATTCAGGTAGGTAGAGGAGCATGCAAGCTATTGAATTTACTCTAAGACTTTTGCTATCAGAGGTATGCTTTGCTCTAGCAAGGTTTTAAGACTCTCTCTCTCTCTCTCTCTCTCTCTCTCTCTCTCTCTCTCTCTCTCTCTCTC